CTGATAGCCTTATGGGGTTTCCTTTGCATGTAATTTGTTGCCTTTCTCTTGTGGCTTTTAGGATTCTCTCTTTAATTCTTGACATTTTAATTATAATGTGTCTTGGTGTGGGCCTCCTTGGGTTTATCTTTGGTGCTCTCTGTGCTTCCTGTACCTGGATGTCTGTTTCCTTCCTTAGGTTAGGAAAGTTTTCGGCTATTATATCTTCAAATAGATTCTCTGCCCCTTTGTCTCTCTCTTCTCCTTCTGGGACACCTATAATACGGATGTTAGTGTGCTTGATGTTGTCACAGAGGTCCCTTAGACTGTTCTCATTCTTTTTAATTCTTTTTTCTTTTATCTGTTCAGCTTGGGTGATTTCCTCTAGTCTTTCATCCAGCTCACTGATCTGTTCTTCTGTATCATCTACTCTACTATTGAGTCTTTCTAGTGAATTTTTCATTTGCAGTATTGTATTCTTCATTTCTGATTGGTTCTTTTTTGTATTTTCCAATTCTTTGTTGAAGTTCTCACTGACTTCATCCATTCTCCCAAGATCAGTGGGCATCCTTATGACTTTTTGTTTGAACTCTTTATCAGGTAGATTGTTTGTTTCTGTTTCATTTAGTTCTTTTTCTGGGGTTTTGTCCTGTTGCCTTACTTGGAATGCATTCCTTTGTCTCCTCATTTTTCCTCTTTCTCTGTGCTTATATCTATGTATTAGGTAGGTCAGCTACGTCTCCTGATCTTGGAGAGGTGGCGTTATGTAAGAGATACCTTATGAGGCCCAGGCAGTGCAACACTTGTCACCAGTTGCAAATATTCCAGGAGTGACCCCTGTGTGGGCTACGTGTGTCCTTCTGTTGTGGCAGGGTTGCTCTTGCTGCAGGTGCCCAGGGAGGCTAGGCTGTCCCCCTGGCCAGCTGGTTGTAATGCTCAGCTGCACGTGGCTGCTATGGACCCTTCAGTCGCTTTATCGGGCATGGGGAGCCCCAGCACAGTTGGCTGCAAGGTCTAATAGCACATTCCTGTTGCAGTTTTTCTGTTAAGTGAGTGGGCCCCCAGCATGGCTGGTTGCTAAGCTCAGGGGCTTACAATTGCTGTACACCTCTGGCCTGCAAGGCTCTTGTCAGCTCTCTGGATTGCAGCTGAGTGGGGCTGGCCCTAGGCACAGGAGCACCCAATTGTTTCAGGCTTTGGAAGGTGGGGCCGATCCCCTATGTGGCTGTTTGAGAAGCAGAAGTCTTCTGCAGTTTACAAGCCCCACTACCCACTGGGCCACACACACCATCAACACAGTCCTGCCCCTTGCGTGCACCCCGACCCCCTGAAGCAGACCCAGTCACCCCACTGCAGAGGCCCCACACACTCAACCAATGCTGCACACTCTACCTGCTCCTCGCACACACCCTGCCCCACAGAGACAGACCCACTTGCTTGGCTGCACAGGATCCAGGCACCCAGCCTTTGCAGACCCACAAGTTCCCCCAGGGCTTGCTCTTGGGTGGGGCCAGTCCCTAGAGCAGACTGCCTGCTCTGGCTGAGCTGGATTAAATTGGTGCTCTAGTGGGTGGGGCAGACCCTGGGCTAACAGGCCAAGGAAAGAACTCCAATGAGTCAGCCAGCGTCTGTGTCAGCACACCTGTACTAGGTTACAATAATGGCTGCCGCCAAGGTCTCAGTCCCTGTAGAGGTCTCACCTCTCACTGAGATGCACCCAGCCCCTATCAGGTGAGTCTCTTTTCACCAAAGGACTGTGCACCTTTCTTTTTGGTGATTTTAGGTTGCTTTCCAAAGCAGGTGAATTTGTGCATGGGCCCTTTAACAGCCAGCTTTTTCCCCTTATGTCAGATAGCTTTTCTGGGGCTATTCCCTGTTGTTGTTTGTAGCCAGCAAAGCCAGATATTACGACACTCATCTCGGTTGTGCTGAGTCCAAAGGATGCTTATAGTGGTAACGCTCCCCCACTCACGTCCCCCACTCCTCCAGGGAAGGCTGCATACCTTAGGATTGCTCCTGGCCAGCCATGAAGCACTGTGGCTTGTGAAGGTGGCTTTTTTCCTCTCCAGAAAGGAATTTCTGCCTCTTCCCTCTTAGTCAGGACTGTCCCTTGTTGTGGGGGTTCTTTTTATCCAGTTTTCAGTTCTCTCTCAGGAGTCATTGTTCCAAGAGTTAGTTGTAAATTTGTTGTGTCCGTGGGAGGAGGTGAGTTCAGAGTCTGCTTGTGCTGCCATCTTGACACCAACCTCAGATGAATTTGGAGAGGTAAGGTGGCCTACATTGTGAAGGGCCAAGTGTGCCCTGTTGACAAGTTTAGACTTCTTGGGTATGCTGTGGAGATCCACAGCCAGGAAAGATTTATGTTTTAGGAAGAAAATGCTGAAGCGTGGATTGGAAAAGGGAGAAATTGGTTCATTTATCCAATAAACACTTATTGAATACCTACTGTGTGAAAGTAACTATTCTAGGGACTTGGGATACAACAGTGAACCCAAAGACAAAGATACCCGCCCTAGTAGAGCTTACCACTTCTAGTGTAGGGTGATAGACACCATACCAGTAAACATAGTAATAAGTTAATCATACAGTATATTAGGAGGTAATAAATGCTAAGAGAGAAGAAAAAATAGAATAAGGGGATGTGAGAATGCCAAGTGGGGGACAGTTGCAATTAAAATAAAGTGGCAAGATGTCCAGTTCAGAAGCTGTTGCAGTGATCCAAATGAGAAGTGATGAGGACTGAGACTTAAGTGTGGGACTTTAGAATGGAGAGAAGGAATAGATTGGGAGACATATTTTTCCTTTTCTTTTTTGACCCTTTTTATTGTAAAATAAAACAGAAACTACACAAAACAAATCTATAATGTAATGAATTATTATAAGGTGAACAACCTTGTAACAACCACCGTGGTAAAAAAGTGAAACTTTGCCAGCCACACCAGAAACCCCTCTGTTATTCCATCCCAATCACAAAGCCCTCCCTCCCTGACAACCTGATTTTTATGGTAATCACTTTCCTGCATTTCTTGATAGTTTTATTAACCAAATGCACATCCCTAGACACTGAGTCTTGCCAATCAAAAAAGTTTTTTTGATGCCTTTTAAGTCTTTAAATCTACAGGTTTTTTCTCCTTCCCTTCTTTTTTCTTATAATTTATCAGCTGAAGAACTGGGCCATTTGACCTTTAGAGTTTCTCACATCCTGGATTTTTCTGATTGCATACTCACGGTGCAACTTAATGTGTTCCTCTGTCCTTTGTATGACTTGTAAATTGACAGCTGGACCCAGAGGCTTGATCAGATTCAGGTATCATCCCTTTGGCCACGACTATTGGCAGTGGAGTGTGCTTCCATTGAGAAGCACATAATGTCTGCTTGTCTTTTGCAATGTTAATAGGTGTTTCTGCTCAATGCCTAGGATTAGTAATTTGTTAGGGGTTGCAAAATGGTGGTATTCTAATTATATCATATCTGTTTTAGTTGTTAGCTGGAATACTTTAATAAAGAGACATTTCCCCTTATCTATTATTTAGTTACCCAGTGCTACAGTTCCTGTAGGAAAGGCAGGCTAAATGCCTTTTTCTTTTATTTACCAGTTTTCAAAGTAGTAAGCTGGTTCCCTGTCATCCTCAGTTTTTATTTCTCTATCAATATTTTCTCCTTGGTGTGGCAGTGTCTGGAAAGGGAGCCCTGGTTGGTCAGTTTCAAGAATTCATGGTGCTAGGCTGCTCTAGTCTCTTCAGACCTCATCTGCTATATTGGATTAGGCAAAACCCCTCCCAGTTTCAGCTCCTGTTCTAAAATTGGCTCATTATGTGTTCCAGTGAATACTTGTTGGCTATTTTGGGGTTCTCCTGTTTTCACATCCATCAGATACCCACTGCTTCCCTCTGCTTTTTCCTTCATGGATGCTAATACCGTACAGGTCTTGTGGCTGTTAGTTTTTCCCCAACTGCTTGTGTTTTAGGTTTGTGGGGGATATCTTATCACCAAGTTTTGTTGTAAATGTTTTCCGTGGGATTTTGGTTTTGCTATCTAGTAGCTTGTGCTGTTTTTATGTGGAAATCAGGGAGATTAAACCTACCACCACCAATGCCATCCTCCCAGAAAGGGGTTGAATCCTAGAAGAGTTGGAGTCGAATTGAGATTAAGTGAAGTTTCTAACTTAGAAGATCTGGGGAATGGTCATTATATGGATGAGGATTAAAAAACAGAAGAGAAGGAGCAAGGTAGTAAGTGGAAGATAAAATCAGTTTTTGATTTCTTAGATTTGAAATGCTTATGAGATACCCTAATAGAAATGCCTTCTTAAGAAAAATGCTTTTAGAATTTCATAAAGAGAGCTAGGTGATGAAAGATAAATACTTTGAAAGTGACTGAAGCCATTATAAGTTGGAGAAATTATTAGTTTTGGTAAAAAGTACAGTGTGAAAAACCAGTAGAATAGAAAGCATGCACTTAAAGATGAAAGAGACACTAATAAGCATCTGCGAACCAGTAGTTTTATGTATTTTCCATAAATATGCACAACAAATGCAGGTTTACACTGAGCAGCAATCCAAAGAGGAAGACACTATTCAAAGATTCATTTATTTGGATGCAACTGGGTGTTTGGTCGTTAGGTGTAGGTGCCATACATGTTGGATATAATATTAAGGGAATGAATTTATAAATCTGAGTATTTTTCCTACTAGAAAAATAGATGTTAAGTATTCATAAAGATAAAAATCCTAGATGAAGATGTTAAGTATTCATAAGCTGCAAGTTTTTGTATTTTGAGTAAACTACAGTATGCTGTCACAGATTCTCTATTTTCAGAGTAGGTGAAAAAAATCTTCTCTTATGAGCTATTCCAGATGTTCAGGTGCTCTGACCTCAGAGGGGATTTTTTTAAAATAGTATGCACATTTGAACACTCCTTTTTAAAAAATTTCATTGGCATTAAATATCATCCCAAATGACTTACTTTTGACCTCTGTCTTTTCCTTTCTTCCTCTTTTTCTTCTTCTTTCTAAAATTAGGCCAGTCTTCAGAGACCTGAGATTAAACTTGAATCACTAAAAGAAGATATTAAAGAATTCTTTAAAACATCAGGTTTGTAAGTTGCTTTTTTTCCCCCTAATTCTTTAAGGCAAAATAAGAAATACTTTATTTGGAGGGAATATTTTATTCCCAGCCTTCCAATTACTTTTCAAAATTGTGAAACAGTGGCTGGATAGGTTTCTATTTGGAGAGAATTAGAACTTTCAGACATTTCAATAAAATTCTTCAATAATTCAGGAACACTGTGGAAATGACTGCTTTACATTAATCAGTTTTGAATACTGTTTTCCTTCCTGGTCAAAATACATCCTGAATGTATTAAGAATCTCCTTAGTTAAGTAACTTGTCTTTTTACATTTTATTTGTGGCTTTTTTCCTTCTACACTTCTTTTACCTCCTCTTTTCTACCCTTTCAAAGAAAACAAAAGACAATCCCAGCTTTTTTAGAGCAAGAGGGATTCCCTATTCCAACCTTTGCACGTGGGAACTGAGCTATTAAGTGGTTTACTTACCCAGATAAATTCAACTACTTAGCAGCCAAGCTAACTGATCTGACTGGTGGTACCTCATAATAATCTGCTTCTGTTGTTCAGGAGTTTACTGACTAGTTGATTGTAACTAATTACTTGTGATCTGTCTTTGTCAAGTGTCTAGCTGTTTCTTGCCCTTCCCTTGCACATTCCTCATAGCGCTAGTAGTATAGTAGCCAAAGATTTTGGCATTCATTGAGCACCTTAACAGTGGAAGAAGGAAATGATCCTCTCATCTTAAGAAAATGATGCAATAGTTTTACTTACAAAATAATATCATGCTGATGACTTTGCTACTCAGTGTTAGCCAAGGGATATGGTAAATATATAGGAAATAATTCCTTAACACTTTACACAGCAATTGGCAGATGATAAATTTCTTTCACAAGTGAATATGATGTTCAAGCTTTAGTGAGATAAATTTATAATGTATGTTTATTTTTAAAACTAATATATTTGTGTATTTTATTCATTTTTTTTCTTTTAAATAGGTTGGGAGAAGAAACTTCAGAATGCTGTTTATAGTGAACTGAGTGTGTGAGTTTTTCCTACCTATTTTGAGATACTGTTGTGTTTAGCTATATTTACTTTGTAAGTAATGAATACAGTATTGCTATGTACACTCATTGTGTTATTATTCTCATTAGTATTTACATAACATTTCAAGTAAATTAATACTGTTAAAAATTATAGTCTTGCCTGAGAATCAATGAATAGGTGGGCATTTTTTATTGCAGAAAATTTTATATTAACAATTCATTTATCCAGTATAATTAGGGAATAAGATATTTAGCCTAAGTTAATATTTCAGATAACTTAAGCTTACCAGCATTCTTTTTATTGTTGCCATTTTGGATATTACCTTTTTCTGTCTTTATAAACTGACTATAAACATTCTAAACATAATTAGCTTTTTTTTTTTGCAAAATTGGTGTCATTATTAAGAACATCAATGCTTTTATTTATCTGGGTTTACCCTCAGACTCTACTGAGGTATATAGAACTATTTGTCGTTATAAAACATATAGATCCAGAATATTAGCTTTTGTAGTTTATTCAATATTCCATTATTCATCAATTATTTATTGCTAGCACTGTGCTAGGCATTGGGAACATAGTGTAGAACAATAAACACAATTCTTGCCCTCATGGAATTTATAGTCTAATAGAATCTTATGTCTGCTATTTTTTCTTTTCTTTTTTTTTTTTTTTTTACTGCTGTCAATGTATCTGTGTCTCCAGCATTCTCTGGTCTCTACCACTTCCATTTCCAGTTTTCCCCTTTAGCTGTTAAGTGGGAAACAAGATAATCTAGTTTACCAGAACTGTTTCTAAAATAAAAAGACTCAGATGAATACCTGTGGACTTGCGCTTAGACACACATTTTTTAAATTAGTATTTGTTTCATTGCTTATCGCCATCTTCCAAGTTGGTTTTTGAACTCTTAAATGACAACATATATAAGTGCTATCTATTAATGAAAGTTGACTGTGACCATACTTTTCATACTAGTCACCAAAGTAATAGACATTTATCATGACAAATAAGGTTTTAAATTTACAAAATGTAGTAGAGATGCCACAGGTTGATTAAACTAATATGAACATGGTGATTTATCTCTGCCCATTACATAGAAAGCCTGTAACTTTCGTGTCTTTGTCTCTGATACTGGAGGAATAAAATCATCTGTTGTGTATAATTCCAAACATTAGATCCTCATCTGAGGGGATATTACTGATGATTGCTATTTTTGTGGTATAATGCATTCCTGGAAATTGTTCTGTGAGACAGAATGCCTTTTTATTTGACGGCAGGGACAGTATTTCATTCATTGTCATATCTTCAGTATCCTACACAATAGACATTTAATAAATATTTTTGAATAACTTGTTGGGATATTTGAAGGAGTCCAGTACTTCTACCTTTTTTCCTCACTTGGGTTCTGAACAAATTGAGAAACAAGATGAAACTTAAAGGCAAATGAAAGATCAAAATTATACTTTTATTTCTGACGAAGACTATGTAGGAGGACATAGTTTAGTGCAAAAGCAAAATGAGCCCTTTAACTGAACTCCAGAATTAAATAGACTTAACCTTCCCGTTAAAAGCATTGATGAGCATGTTCACTTTTTTCTTTGAAAATTTAAAAACTGGATAAGGCATTAAACCTCTTCTGGCGTAGTGAGTACAGCCCTGGAGAGAGGCCAAGAATGTTACAGTAAGGGAGCTGTTTTCCCATGGAAGGATGCATCTGGAGTGGGGAAGAAGCATTCCCCTAACATAATTCGGGAGAATAAAGTGGACTTAGCATATTCTGTTGCATTTTTCACTGGCAGAAACCACTAGATGGATAAGTAAAGAAAGCAAAAAGTAAAAGTAGAAGTATTCATTAGGTTAAATAATTGGAGCTGAAAAAAAATACTCTCATGCCTAATAGATGTGTGGACACGTGAGCTATGCAGATCATACCTGAAAATTGCTGACTTCATTTTACTTATTTTAGTAATCATTCCAAAAATTTTAGTCAGATTCTTATTTAACAAATATAGCAGAAAAATTTATGTATTCTGTTATTTACATGAAACTTGTAACTCTAGCCCAGGTTAACTTTTCTCACTTCAGATTACCTACTTTATTTAATTATTGTTGTGATAATAACTATTTAATATTATATGAATGATAATTTACATTGATTGAATGCTTATCTTATGTCAAGCACTGTGCTAAGCACTTTATATGCATTACCTTACATAATGTAATCTTCATAACAACCCTATGAAGTAGAATCTATTATTATCATCATTTTATGAAAGAGAAAACTGAGGCTTAGACCTTAAAGTTACCTTAAAGTAGCTTAATGACAATCATGTAGCTAGTAAATGGCAGTGCTAGAGCTTCACCTCTAGCTGTCTGATTCCAAAGCCTATACATTTTACTACATATCACATATATTTATATTTTATTTCTTGCCTAGATTAAAAGTGTTCTGAAACAAGAATTATGTCTTACATTTCTTTTAGTATCTCCTAGAGCATCAAATAAATGACATTGAATCAACAAATAGTTATTGAGCCACCTACCAATGCTAACACACGATAAATATTTGTTGAACTGAGGAAGCTCAGTGTAATTGTTAATCTTAAACCTACTATAAAGATTTAATAAGACGGTCTTTACATTGAAAATGCACCAATTTCCTTCTTTTCATTGTATTTTGTGTAGAGCAGTTTATAAAGAATTAGATGACCTATCATTTTCCCTTTAAAGAAGCATATAAACCAGCATATAAACCTTTTTATTTAACCTTCTATATGTGTATATATTATAAAAACATATATCATAGTCTACTGTTATAGTAGATTTATGCAGGTATCTTCCATACCTTTGAGATGTATAAGTGTTGAACAGTAATGGGCCCCAAATGGAAAGATTTTAGATAATGAGTACCTTATACTAGACCACAAGATTGGGTATGTCTTTATAGACAGTCATGGCATGTGCTGGAAGAGGGCTGAGGCAGTACACCTGGCTATCTTCAAAATGTCCTAATCATGTGGTTCTTCTTTGCCCTCTTAGTTTCAAATGTTAGTATGTACTTGCTATGCGTTATGCACTGAGTTAGGTGCTGAGGATAATGAACAAGCTAGGTAGTCTTTGCTTTCATGGAGCTTACATCCCAGTGGGGCACACAGACTCTAAAGAGGCAATTATCGTACAATATGATAAGTGCTATGATAGGGTAAGTACAAGCAGCACATAGGGCAGACACTTAACTCCCAATTGGCGAAGTCATAATGATTTACTAGAGGAAACAGTATTCAGACTGAGATCAAAAAGCTAAGCTAAAGTTAGTCAGGGGAAGGAGTAGAGAAGAAAAGTGCCTTAAGCAGAAGTGAACAACAGGCCCAGAGGTTTAGAGGTAGAAAAGAACGTGATACATTGGAGGAACAAAAGTTGTATGGCTGGATGGTAGATGGGAAAGGGGCATGGTCAAGGATCATGCTAGATCTGTAGGCAGGGATGTGCTTCTTACTCAAGGCCTGGATCCGAAAAGCATTTGGGTGCCAGTTTACAATTTTAAGCAGAGTAGTGACATGGTCACCTTTGCGTTTTATTCATTCAGCAACGTGCTGGTTATCTAGTATGTGTCAGGCATTATCCTAGACACTGGAAATACAGTCACTGGTGAATAAGGAAGACATTGCTCCTGGCTAACAGCCAGGCAAATTTGCAAATAGGTTGAAAGTAATGTGGAAGCAGGGGAGACTGCTTGAAATCTGTCAGATGGGTGCAGGCGAGAAATGTTGGTTGCCTAAAACAGCATCAGTGGGGTAGAAAAAGATGAGTAGTGTTTAGGGGAATTTGGGGGACAGAAAGAGGGAGGAGTCAAGAGTGATGTGCAGGTTTCTGCATTTTCTTATCTGATGACCCTCATCTCTTCGTATTACTAAATATGAGCGCCGTGAGGACAGAGATTTTAGCCTGTTTTGTTCACTGCTGTATCTCTTTTACCTTGGACACTTAGTAGGCTCTCGTTAAATATTTCTCAATGAATAAATATCTAACTTGATTTTGGTTTTAATATTAATGATCTTTGGGTTGCTGCTTAACTGTTACCTGTTTTTTTGGGATAAATTTCTTTGAGAATTAAATAACTATTAAGATCATGAGTAAGTACTCTCAAGTTTCAGTCTTAAATTTCTAAGTTTTATTAAATTTAGAAATAATTACCATTAAAATGGAAGGATTTTAGAGCAATATTTAATTATAAACCACATGTCCCTTTACAAATGATATATTGAGCAGTATGAAATATATAGTTTTTAAACTACCTGGCATATAAGAAGAAATACTGAGGTATCTAGAGCTTATTATTAACAGTCATGACAATTTTCATATGAGCATTTACAGAGCTAAGTAATTTTAAAATTACCTCAATTTATAAATTCAGATTATCATGCAATTTAACTTTTAGCAAGTAATTAAATTGCTAATCCAAAACTACCATACTAGTAGGATAAGAATTGAAGTTTTATTAGGCTGTTGCACCTTGTATAAACATAGAACTGCTAACAAATATTCCATTTCATTTATAACATGGACTACAGAGGTAAGTAATTTCTAACCAAGAGAATTAATTAATCAAGAATAATGTACGATATTTAGCTGCCTCTTTTTGTCCCTAGGTTTCCTTTACCTAGTCATCCTGCTGCACCTCCTGAGCATCTTAAAGAACCTTTGGTATATATGAGGAAAGCACAGGTTGGCTATTGTTCATTTTAATTTTATTTTTTCATGCTAAGTTACATAATGCAGAGTAAAAGATCTTGATTGATATCAGGAGTATATATTATGCATTATATGAAAGACTGGGTAAGAACCACTAAAGTGATGGGAATAGTGTTTACATACTCTTCCTTTTTACTGAAAGTAAAACCGAGGTTTAAACTGAGGTTCACACTTATGTAACTATAGTAATCCTAAAAACATTGAGTAGAAGGAAAAAAAAAACTGTGTACTATACTGGCCTGAAATTTAAAATATAATAAAAGTATTATGCGGCAATTTGTTCCTCATCTCTGTGATAATAAAGGAATGAAATGAGAATGGACTGACTCACTTTTCCCTTAAAATTTTGGCTTTTGAAGCCAGTGTTACTGATACTGTATTTAAAATATATTTTTTCTCACAGCAGGTTGTTATATACTGATTGTATTCTGTTACAGAACTCAAATGAACCTTGTATCTAAAATAGACTGAAAACAACTAAAAGTCACTTTAAAAGAATAAAATAATTTAAACTGAAAAACTGTAAAAGCTGTTAAAATAGGAACTTAATAAGTTCTGTCATATGCCCCTAACTCTTTTAAATGTCCTTTGCCTCGGCGTGGCCTGGTCCACCTGCCTGTGAGTAGCACTGTTTGTGAGCCTTCCTCACAGTGCTGAGGACTCTGTGACTGCCGCTGCTGAGGCGTTTAATGCACATCACAGAGTCGACCTTCTTTCTCTGTCACAGTCTCAGAAATTATTATGAAAAATTTCAAATGTAGCCCATGAGCCCCTCACCCGGCTTCAGCAGTTATCGTGGTGGCTCTGCTGCTCCTGAGACTGTTCTGCGGCTTTGAGTTACCACACTCCACAGTGGATGTTAGGCAGATTTTGATTTTTCAACTTTTATTTTCATTTAAAAAACCTTCAAGATTAGATGGTGAAAGGAAGCAATATAAACAAAAAACATGGGGACATTTGAGGAAATATGTAATATATTGCTATCTCTAGGTGGTACCTTTAGGGCTAGTAATCAGACAATATTTATTATCAACGTGTCTTAGAGCATAATCGTTAAATGACACGTGTGAAAGAATTGTTTGGTATTTTTGTTGTAAAGATATAAATTCAAGAAAATAAAACTAAAAACTTTCGGTCTAAATGTTTTTTGTTGAAATTTGAAAATTTCTAAAAGATTTAGAGAAATTATCAGTTTTAGCATGGTAAGTGTAAGAAATAAAACACAAAAGTTGGTTTCCTATCATGACTGAAAAGGAGAGAGAGAGGTAAGTAATAGGACTGTTCTTAATGCTTATTGCTAGTTGCTGAGAATATACGTGAATGGTAAGTTTATGTATTGTGTATATGTATGCTACTTCTCTCTTTTCTTTCCAGACGCACCCACTACATCAAGAGTTGACACACTACAGCCCATGGGCCAAATCTGCTCCGCCAACTGTTTTTATACAGCTGGCAAACTAGGAATGTTTTTTACACTTTCAACTGGTTGAAAAATCAAAAGAAGAATAATATCTTGTGACCCATGAAAATTATAGGACTTAATAAAATATGTTTTATTGGAAAATAGTCATGCTTATTTATTTACATTTTATCTGTGGCTGCTTTGGCACTACAATGTCAGAGTTAGTACAGTGGTTGCAATAAAGACCTTATGACCTGCAAACCTAAAATATCTACTATCTGCCCTTATACTGAAAGTTTGCCAATCCCTGCACTGAATTATTCATTCTTTAAGAGAAGGGACTGTGCTTTTTATCCTCAGCATCTAAACACAGTGCCTAACCCACAGAACACTCTCAATAAATGTTTGTTGAAATAATTGATTCTTTAACGATGGTCACACTAAATACCTCCTCTACCAGTTATTGTCTGCGTATCTTCCTGTATTTGTTCTCCTTGAGTCATCTAGTTCTTCAGCTCCCTGTTCTGTTGGGCAGTTCTCTCCTTTTTGCGCCAAAGCTACCTAGTCTGGATCACATGACTACCATTCCATCATGTTCTCTCTTGCACCTCATAATCTCTTGTGTCATCAGACTTCTATTCTGTCTGCCATTCCAGTCCTCAGCCTAAGGCTACCTCTACCATTTACTTTCTCTCTTCTTCCAAATTGTTGAATACTTAGGGGGAAAATCACATAAGTTCTATGTTTACCATTAGTTTAGTCTAAATCCATTTATCTATCTTTCAGTGGATTCATTTTGCTGCCTGTCAGTCCTTTTGTTATTCATTATCTGCTTTCCAGTTGGGTTTTCCCTAATTTTTTCCATGCTTGTGTAGCCCCCAATTCTACCTCTATCTTATTATTAATATTTTCAACTTAATTTGTTAAGAATATTCCGGTCTTCTCATTCAAGCTTCCACATCTTCCCTCTTTTTTGCTACCACATCTTTTTTGGCTCCAATCCTCTATGATCAACTGTCTACCGTACATTTCTTCTGTGAGGTCAGACTCAACGTGTCTAAAACTGAGTTTATTATATTATTCCTAAAATGAGTATCTCTTCCTTACCTTTCTGTTAGTTGGTTTCTATCATTATTACAGTAATTTAGACTTGAAATATCTTTGATCTCAGTTTTCCATATCCAGATAGTCACTATGTTCTAGAAATTATTTCTCCCCATAGTCTTATAGCCTTCTCTTCCTTTTCATTACCGAGACCATTACTGTAGTGATCACAATGATGATGATGATAATGACGACTGTGTTTTGTTGAGTGCTTACTTTGTTTGGACATTAAGGCACATCCTTGTCTTATTCTTACACCTCTCAACTTTCAATCTGTCTCTCTCCCCATCTACTTACATACAGTCAATATTATTAACTTTAACTGCAAGCAGATGAACCCTTATATATATCTCAATGCCTTCTAACAAACTTTCAGTGACTCCCAATGCCTAACAAATGAAGTTCCTACTCCAAAGCCCAACATTTAAGAGTCTTGACTATCTGTCCCCAGCTTCTCCTTCCACTTTATCAATCTCTGCTGTCTTATGACTGCCCTACGTACCCTTCCAAATGAATCATTTTGCCTTTCCTCTTGCATCTTGAGCACTTTTCTTATTTTGTTTTCCTGTCATGGAAAGCCCTTTCTATTTGCTTTGCATTATGAAAATCCCATCTATTTTGTGAGGGTCAGCTCAGATGGCATCTCTTCTCTGATGTTATTATTACCCCTGTTGAAAAGGATCTGTCTCTCTTTTGGACTCTTGTAGCACACTATCATTTTATGGCCCTTATCACAAATTGCATTCTATTATAGTAATTTCTGTACACATCTTTCTGACTTTTGTTATAAGCCTGTTGAGAGCAGTAACAATTTGAAAACACTTTTGTGTTCCCATTACATCTCGTATGCTGACCTTTCTGTAGCAGGAGCTTAGTAAGTTTATGATGAATTAATATGAAAGGTGTTTGCCATCTCTTCTACCAATTACTGCAATATTTATTTAAAAGATATTTACTGAATGCCTACAAGTAGAAGACATTCTGCTGTGTGCTATGGAGATTCAGAAATAAATTAGATACAAATTCTGCCTTCAGGGAACTTCAAGGTTTAGTAATTGAAATAAGACTTGGACACGTGTAGCTGTAATATAAGGTAGAAGGTGCTGTGTGCTATAGGGGAGTGGGCTAGGAAGTTTTGTAAGAGCACTGGGAAGGAGCTGGGGACAGGTGGTTCCTTGTCAGGTTGTTCTTTGCTCTTTACCATCAAAAACAACTTTAAAAAATCCAGTTAGTGTTTCCTTCCCCTTTTATTCGGTAAAACATGTGGGCAGAAAGTATTTTGGAACTGTAGCTTGTAAAATTTGATTCCCTTTTTTTTTCCTATTAAAGTTTCATGAGTTATTTTTAACTTCACTTCGCTCTTAACAGAGTTGGGATGTAAATCAGTTCTTTGCAGTTTTTGGCAAGCTAGATTGGTGTTTAATTTTCTAGGTTGATGAGGGAAAGAGGATTCTTATACTGCATCAGCATTTCCTGGAGTGTTTTCTGCTGAATACTAGCCCTGAGAGATGCTTCACAAAAAAGGGTTCCATGGACAAATAAGTTTGGGAATTGAGGCACACACTGCCCTCCTCTTGGTGAATCACAACTTATTTTATTATTTTTAGTAGACTTGATTTTTTACGAGAGTTTTATTTAGATTTACAGAAAATTGAGATGATAGTACAGAGAGTTCCCATAGATCCCATACCCATTTTCCCCTGTTAACATCTTTCATTACTATGGTACATTTGTTACAGTTAGTGAACCAATATTAATACATTATTAACTAAAGTTCATACGTCATTCAGATTTTCATGGTTTTAACCTAATGTCCTTCCTCTGTTCCAGGATTTCGTCCAGGATACCACATTACATTTGGTTGTCATGTCTCCTTAGGCTCCTCTTAGCTGTGACAGTTTCTCAGACTTTCCTTATTTTTGATGACCCTGACAGTTTTGAGGAGTACTGGTCAGATATTTTGTAGACTATCCCTCTCTTGGAATTTGTCTGATATTTTTCTCATGATTAGTCTGGGGTTGTGGGTTTTTTGGAGGAAGAACACAGATGTTAAGTGCTATTTATATTCATCACATCATATCAGGGTACATGCTATTAACATGATTTATCACTGTTTATGACCTTCATTGCCTGGCTGAGGTAGTATTTGTGAGGTTTCTCCACTGTAAAGTCACTCTTTTCCCCCCTTGTATACTGTACTCTTTGGAAGGAGGTCACTATGTATGGTCCACACTTAAGCAGGAGTCATGCTCCACCTCCTTGAGGGAGCAGTATCTACAGAAATTATTTGGCATTCTTCTGCATGCAAGAGTTACCTCTTCTCTCCCATTTATTTATTTATTCAATCATTTATTTATATCAGTATGGATTCATGGATTTCATTTTATACTTTGGGTTTTAATCCAATATTCCTTAATTTTGTTGCTCGTAATTTATTTTGGCATGGTAAAGGCTCAGAGAATTTCTG